CCCATAACTTTGATTCTTTTAATCCAGATTATCCCATAAATCCTGATGTTTTTCACATCTAAGAACAACTTGTAGAATGTTCGCTCTGTTCTTCTGTAAAATCCAGGTCATAAGCACATTTAGGGTTTCAGACTTGCTGTTATCTCTGCTGTATAAACGATGAATGTTTACTCTTCAGTCTTATCACAAACATGTTTAAACTTGCACGACTTTCCTGTGGATACATTCTTTCGAGCTGACGCTTAAGGCCGTGGGTCGCTTTAAACAATCTAGTTTGTATGAAGTGTTGTCCGACCACATCTAAAGCTCTCTGAACATCCACAGTCGAGAGAAAAGCCGGCCGTCATAGAGAGGAGATGATTTTGTTTAAATACGGAGATAACCGCAGAACAAACCTTAAACATGCTAGATAGATAGATGCCATGCGCAGATATTGTAGGAAAAATAAAAAATACTGTTCCGTTCACAAAGGAAGGTTCAAATCAAGGACAACTGGACTTGTTTTTAAGAAACTCGAAGACGTTTCGTCTCTCATCCGAGAGGCTTTTTCAGCTCTGACCGACTGGTAGGGAAACTCTGATATGTAGCGTCTGAAGGGTCGTTGTGAAGATGATGGATACTGCTGGTTTGTTTGTCGTTACAGCAGTCAGAAGCACAATCGTTATGGTTGTTATATCGTACGTCTGAACGACCATCATCTGCATTCTCACTTTACGTATAGATCATCTTGACCCGCCAGAGTTTCCCTAACAGTCAGAACTGAAGAAGTCTCTTGGATTAGAGACGAAACGTCTTTGAGTATCTTCAACCAAGTGCAGCTGCCCTTGATTTTAACCTTCCTTGAATAAAACCTGGATGCCTAAGAACCTACACAGACACTATTCCTATTCAGTAATAGCACAGAATCATCTTTTTTCTGGGTTGTGCCTTAACGGAGTTGCCCCATTGTTTTACAGTGCGTCACATGTTACACTGTTATGAACTTTACAGCCAGGCAGAGATGTGAGAGGGAAGAGTGGGGTGACAACTCCTCTGTTGTGTCAGCAGAAGACCAGAGGATACAAGAGGAAGAAGAAGAGAAGCCATCAGAGTCTCTTCCCTTGGAGTCCTCTGGGATCTCTAATCTGACAGACCCAATAAAGACGACACGAGGTGAGTCGAACCACAGGGAGAGAGGGTAACACAGTGAAATCTAAAAGTAAAATGTTATACGTCGTGCAGCTATATGATGTTGTGGTTATTTCTGCTGTTGCAGGTATCGATCTGGAGGAGACTTGTGGTCGGTGAAAAACTGTAAGCTCAAAGACTTTCTATTTTTCTGCTTCACATATTAAACTTTACAGTATCATCTGCATAGAGTTATAACATTTACTGAGACCACAGAGTCATCATGGTTACTAATCTGGATTTTAGTTCCATTATCACAAGAATTTTTATTATTTATTGTATTATTAAGTTAACAGTCTATTAATCCTGTTCTGTGTGGATATTATAGTCATCCTTGCTTGGTCAAATACAAACAGCAGAACTGTAGGGAGCCGTACTTTGGTTTAGATTTACCTCTTGAGTGCACATTTAGTTCCAGGACATCATATTACATTATGGTCCTGCAGCGCAGAAGGTAAAAAAAAAAACCTTAATGTTGATCAGACATCTTTCCACTCAGCACAGAATTCAATTCAATTTTATTTATATAGCGCCAAATCACAACAACAGTTATCTCACAGCGCTTTTCATAAAAGAGCAGGTCTAGACCGTACTCTATGATGTTATTTACAGAAGCCCAACAGTTCCCACCAAGAGCAGCACTAGGCGACAGAGGCAAGGAAAAACTTCCTTTAAGAGGCAGAAACCTCGAGCAGAACCATGGCTCAGGGTGGGCGGCCATCTGCCTCGACCGGTTGGGGGTGAAGGGGAGAGAGAGAGAGAGAGAGAGAGAGAGAGAGAGAGAGAGAGAGAGAGAGAGAGAGAGAGAGAGAGAGAGAGACTGAGTGAGTGAGTGAGTGAGAGAGAGAGAACGTCCCGGTAAATGAGTTTTTCAGCGTGTGTATTGATAACAGACAGTGCGCGTCTTTAAAGTTTGATTCAATTTTGTGTAAAATTCTACCCTGCACTGTAATAGCACAACGCATTAGATAATTGCCCTCCAAAAGGACATCCCCTCTCACTTGGCTTCTCCCAAAACCTCCCCCACTCCACGCCACTGTTGTATGTTAGCAAACTGTTGCTACAGTTGCTGCTGCAAAGCTAACACGCAAAAAGGACGAGATCAGGGCCACCAGGGCAAAAAGCAAATGTTTAAATAAAAACTTCAGCTACCTTCAAATAGCAAAATTAATTGATCAACTGATTAATCGTGTACCTTGTTTCGTCCCTCAGTTGCCTGCTATTTGACCTTTGACCCTAACACCGCCAACTCAGAGCTCCATCTGACTGACTGTAACAGGAGGGCGACTCGAGTGTGGTCAGAACGTCGACCCGCGGGCCACTCGGAGCGGTTTGAGCGTTGTCCTCAGGTCCTGTGCAGGGAAGCGCTGCTGGACTCGGTGTACTGGGAGGTGGTGTGGAGTGGCGGCGCCGACGTAGGCATCACCTACAACAGCATCTCCAGAGACGGAGACACGGCGAGCTGTCTGCTAGGACACAACAAGCGGTCTTGGAGTCTGGAGTGTTCAGAAGGAAGCTACACACCGTGCCACGATAAGAAAAGGTTCAGGTCCTCCTCACCCCGACCCTTCACCCACAGAGTCGGGGTTTACCTGGACTGGTATGCAGGCTCTCTGTCCTTCTACTGCGTCTCTCGGGACACCATGGTCCACCTTCACACCTTCACCTCCACCTTCACTGAGCCTCTGTACCCGGGTTTCTGGGTCTGGGCCTACGACGGCTCGTGTCACTGTGTCAGGTAGAGTTAGACTGGGAACGACTGCTGGAGTGAACCAGTGGAACCCAGCGGTCGGGGTGGGGGGGTCTCTGTTGTGGACCGAGGAGCTTAATACAACTCAGCGGTGACACACATCTACGATAGCGTCCTCCATTTTGGCTCTCGGTCCACTCAGAGCTCAGCTGTCTGGACGGCTTGCTGTCCTGCCCTAAACTGATGTAATCTGTAAGTCCACTTTCAGATCTAAAAAAGTCCAAGATACCTCTGAAACTTAAAGACTGAATTCTGTAGTGGATCAGTTCTGTCTCTTTGGAAAGTGTTCTGATGCCGAGAACAAAACACTGATGAACCTGCTTTAACAGAGTCAGTGAGTGATATGCGCTGTCTGCTGCTATAATGATTATTTTTACATTTTTAAAAGTTAACTGTGGACACTGATTTATATGTATTATATATAGATATGTTGATTTATTTTTGGACATGATGGGACTTCAAAAGATTCACTGCTGGAGTTTATGCCTTAAGCTTTGGACAAAGTGGAAGACGAACAACTGAAAGCTACAAAGACAAACATAAGGTAACATAAAGATGTTTTAGTGTTTGACAGTCAGGCAGGAAACCTGACGACTGAGTAAATCCACTGCAGGTAGACGCCGCCGCAAATCCCACAAGAACGGCAACTGACACGTGTTCTTGTACCAAAACAAACATGGACGCCCAACCAGCAGCTTGTTTATCCGCAGCCACATCTGAGCTGAAAAGACCGAAAAAAAGGAAGTAAACGGCTGAGAGTCTGGCGAGACCCTGGATGGCTACCTTCAGGTAAAGCAGTTTGTTTACAAGTACGTCTCGCCCACTTGTGTGTTACAAGTGACGTCAATATCTGCTGACAGTCAACACTAACTGAGCCAGACTGGAACAGACCCGGTCCAACTTGGCCCCTTCAGTCGTCACGCTCAAATCGTGTGTCCCTGCTCTTAACCTCTTACCATTCCTGTACAATTCATGCAAAATGCCTCTTCAAGGCAGATCCAAAGTAAATTGAATGTAGTTCTTGAACCATCTGGAGTATCTGCCTGGTCGGGCTTCTCTGAACGATAACAGTCTGCAGTGTCTAACCCAAACGTCAGAATCACTGTAAGAGTTACTGGAATTGATTAATATAAGTTTAAACACACTAAAACTATTTTTTTTTGTTTCCACTTGAAAATGTTGTGGGTTATGGGTTGTACTAACAAATGAATGCAGACAACTATAGCTGGGAAACACTGTAGGGCCGCAGCATAAAGCCTTACCTAGAACAAGTTTAAATTTCATACCAATACCATGAAAATGACAGTTTTCCACAGGTTTTGAGTGTATCTCTTCCCTTTTTTTTCTAAAACAGCCCCGCCCCTTGGCATCGCTCCTATCAGCCGGCAGCTCGACGCAGACGTGTTTTTTGCTGGTAGATCATGAACTTCCTACTTAAGGCTGGATATCGTCATTTTCAGAATGGCGCTTCCTCACAGCGCGGGTTCTCGTTGGCTGTTGTAGGCTGTGAAAGGGACATGTGAGCTCCTATTGGGTCGGATTTGGTGTCACTCGAAAGGTCAGAGTTCAGCGGCTAATTGAATACAAGCCATCGTAGTTGTTTACATTCAAATTGGAGTTATTACGGTTATAATGACAAACGAGCCACGTGCAGATCTGAAGCGATGCGGCAGCCGTCCCTGGGGATTTACTGATGGAATAATGTGTTTTGGACTAATATTTTTACTGGATTTGATCATCTGGACCTTTGACAGCGTAACAAGACCATTTTTGTTGGAATATAATCGATCGGTGGATTAAGTTACTGTGAGGATTCATAAGTGAGTCGCATCAGTTTTGTTTGTACTGGTTGGTCTGACAGAGGCGCTGATTGGACCCGCTGTGGTATCTTGAAATGGTTTGCATTGGTTGAATCACGAGGATTGTTGAGTATGAACTTAACATAGCAGTTATGTGCACATACTGAAAGCTGCCACGAGGACCTGATGTAACGCACCGTCTGTAAGTCCACCTTCAGATCTAAACGAGTCCAAGATACCTCTGACACTAAAAGACTGAATTCACTTTGGAAATGTTCTGATGCAGGAAACACAGATGAACCTGCTTTAATAAAATCAGAGTGACTCAGTGATCTGTGCTGTGTGTTAATGCATATGTCTGACCTGTAGCTGGCTCTCCTGACTCCCTCGGGCCTCCTGCAGCTCCTTCTCCAGCTGCTCCAGACGAGCAACACGGATCTGAAACACACACAGTTCAGACTCATCCAGATGTGCTGTGTTACCAACCAGATGTGTGTACTGTAAACCATCAACAACAACTCAACTGTGTAATAATTTAATAAGATGAATCGATATTATTTGGAGCAGCAGCAGCCGTCAGTCTCACCTGTGTCCTCTGAACCACCTCGTCGCTGGTGCCGAAGCGTTCCTCCATCACAGACTGAACTTGCTGGGCTTCAAACTCCAGCTGCTGCCGAATCAGATCCATCTGCAGAGAAAACTACAACACAAACACACAAAGGTCAGGGCATAATATAGGTCATAATAATATTAATTCAAGCACTCATTATGCAGAATGGCCCATTTCAGAATGATTGGTTTAATGATGGTTATTATATTATTGGATTATAGTCAACCTGTAATAATAAATCATTATAGATTTACTGATTAATATTATTCATTTTAATCTGCAAAGTTAGTAAAAAGTACAATTTTGAGATGTGGTGGAAGTAGAAAGTGGCATTAAATTAAAATACTCAAGTAAAGTTATCTAAAATTGTACTTCATCTATAGTAAATTACCAACACCAGAGATGCTCACAGGTCACTGAGTCCAAGTCTCAAGTCTCTGGTGGTTATAATGAATGTTGTATCAGCTGCTGCGTTCAATCCAGGCTGCTTATAAAACTGCAGAGCTATAAAGGGATTCTGTAACTGTAACCTGTTTTTAACTTACAGAGCACAACCATGTGATGTGCAATGCAATTAATGACTTATTATTAATGGCTTATTAACTACTGTAAGTCAACACACCCTGCAGACTGTCAAACCCAGTGCAACGTTATAACTAAATAAAACTGTGACGTTACATGATCAACAATAAACCTGTAAACTGTTTGCAGCCGACTGTAATAATTAACGTGATGGCAGCCAGCGGGACGTAAATGAAGTTTGGCAGGTAAACAAATGCTCATTCATCTTAAACCTCCCGTAGGTCGTAGCTGAAGCAAGAAGCAAGCTAACGTCAGATGGTCAATGCTGAGCTAAACATGTTCACTAACCTCAGGTTACTAACCTAAATGTTGCGTTCAGCGTTTCTTTGTTTGGGTCTTGTTGTATGAAGTTTTAAAGCCAAAATTTATGATGTTCGGCTCAGCAGCTGCCGCTGTTTGTTGTCCTCTCTCACAAGCGGCCGCGCACAGCTGATACTACGTGTTACGTAGACAGGTTATAGGTAACGCAGGGAGGGAATAACGGCACGCTCATCAGAAATTTCCTAAAGTAGACATTGTTCACGAATCCCGCACCTCGATTCTGAGTCGAGTCTGAAGTCACTGCCTGTGCGACTTAAGTCGGACTCGAGTTCCCATCTTTGATCAACACACAGGCAGTGGTGTGTGTGTGTGTGTGTGTGTGTGTGTGTGTGTGTGTGTGTGTGTGTATAGTCACCGTGTCAATGCGAGGCAGCTGGTTCAGTCTCTGTGACAGCGCCTCCAGCTGGCTGAAGTACCAGCAGCGCTCCCTCTCCTCGCGGTCGATCTCCCCCAGCAGGAGGTTCCTACAGACGGTCACACACAGTCTGTTAGATATCACTGCTCAACCAATCCTCACGCCACCCATCCTCACGCCACCCAACCAAACTTATCCTCACGCCACCCAACCAAACTTATCCTCACGCCACCCAACCACCCAATCCTCACGCCACCCAACCACCCAATCCTCACGCCACCCAACCAACCACCCATCCTCACGCCACCCAACCAAACTTATCCTCATGCCACCCAAAGCATCCTCACATCACCTAACCAAACTTATCCTCACGCCACCCAACCACCCAATCCTCACGCCACCCAACCAAACTTATCCTCATGCCACCCAAAGCAATTCTCACGTCTCCCAACAGACCACCCAATCCTCACATCACTAACCAAACTTATCCTCACGCCACCCAACCAACCACCCAATCCTCACGCCACCCAACCAAACTTATCCTCATACCACCCAAAGCAATTCTCACGTCTCCCAACCAACCACCCAATCCTCACATCACCTAACCAAACTTATCCTCACGCCACCCAAAGCAATCCTCACGCCACCCAACCAACCAACCACCCAATCCTCACGCCACCCAACCACCCAATCCTCACGCCACCCAACCACCCAATCCTCACGCCACCCAGCAACCCAATCCTCACGCCACCCAATCCTCACGCCACCCAATCCTCACGCCACCCAATCCTCACGCCACCCAACCACCCAATCCTCACGCCACCCAATCCTCACGCCACCCAACCAAACTTATCCTCACGCCACCCAACCAAACTTATCCTCACGCCACCCAACCAAACTTATCCTCACGCCACCCAACCAAACTTATCCTCATGCCACCCAAAGCAATTCTCACGTCTCCCAACCAACCACCCAATCCTCACATCACCTAACCAAACTTATCCTCACGCCACCCAACCACCCAATCCTCACGCCACCCAACCAAACTTATCCTCATGCCACCCAAAGCAATTCTCACGTCTCCCAACCAACCACCCAATCCTCACGCCACCCAACCAAACTTATCCTCATACCACCCAAAGCAATTCTCACGTCTCCCAACCAACCACCCAATCCTCACATCACCTAACCAAACTTATCCTCACGCCACCCAAAGCAATCCTCACGCCACCCAACCAACCAACCACCCAATCCTCACGCCACCCAACCACCCAATCCTCACGCCACCCAACCACCCAATCCTCACGCCACCCAGCCACCCAATCCTCACGCCACCCAGCCACCCAATCCTCACGCCACCCAATCCTCACGCCACCCAATCCTCACGCCACCCAACCACCCAATCCTCACGCCACCCAACCAAACTTATCCTCACGCCACCCAACCAAACTTATCCTCACGCCACCCAACCACCCAATCCTCACGCCACCCAACCAAACTTATCCTCACGCCACCCAACCAACCACCCAATCCTCACGCCACCCAACCAAACTTATCCTCATGCCACCCAAAGCAATTCTCACGTCTCCCAACCAACCACCCAATCCTCACATCACCTAACCAAACTTATCCTAACGCCACCCAAAGCAATCCTCACGCCACCCAACCAACCAACCACCCAATCCTCACGCCACCCAACCACCCAATCCTCACGCCACCCAACCACCCACCCAATCCTCACGCCACCCAACCAAACTTATCCTCACGACACCCACAGCAACCCTCACGCAACCCAATCCTCACGCCACCCAACCACCCAATCCTCACGCCACCCAATTCTCACGCCACCCAACCAACCACCCAATCCTCACGCCACCCAACCACCCAATCCTCACGCCACCCAACCAAACTTATCCTCACGACACCTACAGCAACCCTCACACCACCCAACCCTCACACCACCCAACCCTCACACCATCTCCAGGAGAACTAAAACAATCAGCTGACCTCTCCTTGTACAGCTCCTCCAGGTGATGATCGCTCTGTCGACCATCCGCACCGCTAATCACAGCTGTTTTGGGTGGGGCTCCGTCCAGGAAGTGATGGGGTATCATTACGGCGGCGGCCTCGCCACCAGATGCTGCGCTCATACGTGATGACGCTCTCAGCGGACTTCTTGCTCTGCCTGCCGCCGAGGAGGAGGAGCAGGAGGAAGGAGGCAAAGCCAGACAAGCATCTAGCTCCACCCCTCCACCAACACCTGTTAGCCCCGCCCCTCCCATGCTGTCTGTAAGCAGCCTCAGGTTGTGAGGTTGGTGTTTGAGTTCGTAGTAGTTGGTGAGGTCCATGTGGAGCTCTGAGGGAGGAGGAGGACCAATAAATATGATTAATCAAACCCATCCATCATCCACCCATCGCTCTTTTTATGTATGTTTGTTTATTGTATGTCTTCCTGTCCTTCCACCCACCAACTCTTTCTCTCTTCCTTAACTTCTTCCTTCTTTCCCTCCTTTTTTCTTTCTTCCTTACTACCTTCTTTCCCCCCTCTTCCTTCCTTCCCCTTTTCTTTTACCTTCCTTTTGTTTTACCTTCCTTTCTTTCCATCTCCCTTCTCTTCCATCCTTTCTTCTTTTATTTCATTCTTTCTGTTTATTTGTTTGTTTCTTTCCTTTCACTCACTCTCGCTCTTCCTTTCCTTCTTTTCTCCATCCCATCCTCTTTATCTAGCTTCCTTCCTTCCCTCCCATCCTTTTCTATCTCCTTCCTTTTGATTCTTCCTTCCTCTCTCTCCTCCTTTCTTGCATCTTCCCTTCCATCCTTTCCTTTCCGTCTTTCCTTTCTTCCTTCCCTCCTACCATCTATCTGTTATCCATAATTTCTTCTGACAGACAGAACTGAACTGTTTTCTACAAACATGTCTGCTGTTAAACTTAATTGGAGTCAATTTAATTCCCATCCAGACAAACTAATTGGCATGAATTAGCTTTTTTAATTGGACGGAGTCAAACGAGGCAGAGCCAGCTGCAGCCAATCAGGTTAACTGATTGAGTCGATTAATTCTCTGTGAATGATGATCGGTCCCAGCGGAGGCTCAGACCAGCAGAGTCGAGCAGAATCAGACTGTAAACATTAAACTCGTGTGACTCTGGAGAAAAAGGATCCAGACCTTTGAGTTGGTGCAGCACGTCGCTCCTCCCGGACGAGGCCAGCGTTCCCGCCTCCTGCTCCAGTTTACTCTGCAGCTGCTTCAACATCCTGCGTCAGAAGAGGAGGAACAACCGGAGATTCAGAGACAGAAACTTTTTGCAGTGTGAAAACAGGTATCACAGAAGAGAGCACCACCCAGGTGTAGCTGGGGGAGGAGGAGGTCTTCCAAGGTGAACTGGTCCCAGGAGACCGGCCAGACTGAAGGTGTGTACAGACTAGGGATGTCACAATTCCAGAAATGTAGTAGTCGATACCAAGAAGAGTGAAATTCTACAAAATTCTTCTCATACTTCTCATACATACTGCGATAACAAAAAAACTAAAACAATAAATCACTTATACTCATGAAAACATTTGAACATTACAAACATTTCATGGTTCACAACTGTCAGAGGTCGCACGCCTCTGGAGCAACAAGGGTGGATGTGTCACAGTGGGAATTGAACCCGGGTCTCCCGCAAAGGCATGTGTCTTATCCATTGCGCCATCACCACCCCATTAAAATTTTTTAATAATTTTAAGGTTTGGACTGACAGAACAAGCGTCATGAAGGAGTCACTTTGGGCTCTGAGTAACTGGGAAACATTTCTCACACTTTTCAGAATTTCTACAGTTGATTACTGGAGAAAATAATCAGCAAATTGATCCAGAATGAAAAAAATAAATAAATACTATAATTGCAGTCTGATATAAAACAGTTCCACCTCAAAAACTACAGCAGTAAATCCTGCTTTTACGTGAACGCCTGAGTAATAACAATAAAATCATTTATAATGAGTACAACGTCACAGGGGAGTTTTTCTTCTGCTTTGAGTACTTGTACTGATGAGCTTGTAACAGTATTTTACAGTGAAGTATTAGTACTTTAACTTAAAAGGATGTGAATACTTCATCCACCTCTGTGTATTTGCAGAATGAAAACTCCACCTCAGGACAACATGTCTTGTTGTCAGCAGTAGCTGCATGTCTGTCTCCGTCCCCGCTGCTATGAGCACATGAACTCAGACACAGATAAATATTTAGCTGCACCAGATCTTAACCTCCACAGTCCTGCTGTCTTCGCTCTGATGTTCCGCTTTTGCTAGTGTTTCAGCAAACACAGAAGATAATAATCCCATGAAACAGGTCAAACCACAAGCAGCAGATAAAAAATCACCACATCCCAAACAAACGTGATCAGAAGATTCTCTGTGTTCGAGCTTCCTCCTCTGATTTAACCCTGCAGACTCACCTGCTGCAGGTGAACCAGCATTAGCTCTCCTCTCTCTTCTGTTTGTGTGTCAGAGATCCTGATTCTGATCAGACCGGCTGAGCTCAGTCTGATAATCCAGCTGCACTGAGCATCTGGACACGTGAGTGTGTGTGTGTGTGTGTAGTCACATGCATGTGTACACGTACATGTGTGTTTGTGTGTGTGCAGCTGATGGGATTTATCTCCAGCAGGATTTGGGTCTTAGCCTGATCTGACAGGTTTCTGTCTCTCGGTTTGTTTATTGATTATTTTCTAAATATAGTTGATTTTGGACATTTGAGGTTTTAAATTACGACCTGTTTTTTATTTATTCATTTAGCTGACGCTTTTATTCAAAGCGACTTACAGTTGCTATATGTAAGAGGTCGCACGCCTCTGGAGCAACAGGGGTAAAAGTGTCTTGCTCAGGGATTCACAGTGGATTCGAACCCGGGTCTCTTCCACCAAAGGCATGTCTTATCCACTGCTCCATCACCACCCCATTAAAGAGTTAAAATGTTAAAGGAGACAAAATGCCTGATTACAAATGTGTTTTTGCTCAGCTTTGCCTGTATTTTCATTCACAGACAAATTATATATTTATATGTTGAAAAATAAGCAGCGGTTTGGTCCTTTAACTGTGTGTCGGTGGTGTTGGCAGTATTGAGTGTGGTGGTCTTGGGGGTTGGTGTATCCAGACTGACCTTCATGCCGGTGGTCTCGGTCTCCAGTTTGGACAGGTGGTTGGAGTTGTCCTCCAGCTCCCTCCTCAGGTGGGAGTTCTCCTTCCGGAGCGCCTCCACCTGGTGGGCCAGCTGGTCATAGGAAGCCACGGCTTTGGCCATCTTCACACTCTGCAGCCTCCTGCAGGAGGAGCACAGAGGTGGAGGAGGTGTTATTACCCTCACCTGCCTTCACACAGTCAGAAGCTGCGTTCACCAAACATTGTTTTAACCGAAGGAGCTGCAGAACGGCTGCAAACCGCCGGCAGCTGCACCAAAACCAAAACCAGCATGAACACGGACACAATCACAGAAACAACCTTTTGTTTGTTTGTTTCTTTGTTTGTATCTGGTTTCACTCAGTAACACATTTACAAACAACAAAAGAAGCTACACGGTTAGCAGCAGGGCTAACTCCTTGTATTAATCTGTGAAGACATCAGAATAAGTTCTTCCCATTCTGCAGACACAGCATGAATGCACCGCGACGAACAAATCGATCCCACCTATAGATCCTCGCTGAAGGGCACAAAACCTCTGCTGAACTCAAATGCAGCACTTCTGAAGGTCATCACTAAACAGCTTCCAGGTCGTTTCTCTACTTATACTTTTGGGAAACGAGGGGAGAAACTGAAGGTTTGAAACCAGACTTGAACCAGAGCTCCTCCTCCTCCTCCTGATGAGTTCTGTTGACAGCGGCCCGACAGGAAGCTCAGTCCAGCTGTTAGATAACATGTTATCTAAGTTTCTCCTGCGGCTGTTTCCAGCCTCCACTCATCTGATCCTGAATCAGTCTGACAACTCGTCACACTTTCCACTCGTCCGAACACAAACAGCGAGAGACTTTAAACTAAACGTGTGTTTAACCTCTTTGATGTTTAGAGCTACACGTTAGTCTGTTCTGTGTGTTTTAATTTGAACCCAGTATCAGTACATAATGACAGTACTGGCTGTTGAAGGAAACAAAGTACACTGTATGTTTTTATTGTTATAGTTAGGGCTGGCTCTGGTGAGTCCTGAACCTTAGTTATGCGCTATAGCCCTATACTGCCGGGGTTCCCATGATGCACTGAGCTCCTCTTCCTCCTCATCTCTACCAACCTCATCCCATTACAGCATGTACTAATTCGACTTCTTCCCTTTACCATAGTCTTGTGCTTTCTCGTCCCTCTCTTCTTCTGTTGCTTTCTGCAGGATGGCTCTGGATCTGTGGGCTCTGGATCTGTGGTTGCGGGCTTCCTGCTGCTCCCATGTTATTATTAGTCCCATTACTTCAATGATCTGTACTTTATATATTATATTAGTTGTTATCTCTTTTAAGTGTGTTTGCAGCATCTGGGAGGTGAAACAAGATAAGAATTTCTTTGTGTATCCACTGCACATTTAACAATAAACTAATATCGCTATCATACTAGTAATTATAATGTACCACCTGTACTGCTTTGGTATTTGGTATATTGTGTAGATATTGAACATAAACTGACATATTACGCTTGTTAAATAAAAAGTAGAGTGAATGTTTCATGGTTTGTTTGGGCAACTCAAAGCTCCTGGTTAAGTTTCAGCAGGGGGGACTTCTGTAGTAAAACAATCTCACATTATCTTCAGATAAAGTTCAAGATGTTTTTCTGCACAGAACAACGAGGGTTTGTGTGTAAACAGAGAATATTTTAGTTTTTATATTGTCTTTACTAAAATAACTATTTTAATAACTGTTATATTCTTTTCTAGGGGGCTGTGTAACATCTGACTGCACAGTTTGTAGAATATGTACAATAAGTCAATAA